CTATTTAAGAAAAAATAAAAGAACAGAATAGAAGAGAAAAAAACAGGTCAGACAACGATGAGAGTTTTCTGTTTGCGAGGAGCAAATACAGTGATTCGAGATTTCAGCTTTTTGAATTTTGGAGAGGATATACTTCCAAGTAAAAAATGCTGAAATTTCTGAACTCAGAGGAAATACCATGGAAGATCATGCAACATCTTTTGAGCATGTGGAGTACTGCTGTGTACTGGACAGCAAGTTCTGAGTACTTGTGTGGATTTATGCACTGTCATTAGAAATGTAGTGAGCTGCTCACTGTTTACAGAGGACAAGCTAAAAATCTTTAGCAATAGCTAAAAAAAATACTTTTATAAAGTATTTATAAACATTTAATATATACATTATATACGTTTATATTAAAATTATTAAAATTTACATATTATATACATTTAATAAAATTAAATGATAAAAATATGGTGCAGATTTGAATGTAATTTATTTTACAGTTTTACAGTTAAACCCCCAAACAGTTAACATTGAAAATAAGTTACATCTTGGTAATGAATTACATATGTTGAACAATTGAATTTAAGAAAAATGTTAGAACAGCATTAACTGGTCTGGAAAAGAAATAAAGTATCCCAAAATATCGTTATGTAATTTTTAATATAAATATTAATCAAATTGTATGACCTAATAACCAGTGTTAAGTTTATTTCTGAAAGGTTAAAATCACCAAGTTAAGAAAAAGATGTCTTTTTTTGTGAGTATGCTTCTGCTGCTTTGTTTCATTAAGCTTACTGCATTCCCAGGTCAGAATTAATTCATAGTAATGCTATTCCATATACTTTTTTCAGGTTCTACTGCATATTCAGAGAACAACATGTAGGTCAATTACAAGATAAAATGCTAAATATCAGGACTAACTGAAAATATTTTTTATGTCCGTATGATGCATCAGAATCTATATAATAATTGTTCATTCTTACACATACAAATTGAAGACTAACTCACAGTAGTATTTTCTTTTCCTTTGAACATATTCATTGCATAACTTGATTACATGTTTCTGAACTTTGGACTAATTATTTGTCTACGGCTAGGGCAGAACACTGCATCTTGTGATCGTCTTTCTTACTAATAGGATTCTGTCTGCTTCAGCAGGCAATAATTGAAGGCTTAATGTGCAGGATTAAAAAAAAAAAAGTTTTAGCTTCCATGGGCCATTGTCACTGTTTCTGGTAAGCAATAAGACTGAAAGAAAAAAAAAAGAAAATTTAGTTTAAATAGAGGAATCAAAGATGAAAAAGAGTGCCTGACAGGAGAGAGCATGTGCTTTAGTGCTGTTGAATTATGTGTCACAAACCCCGCTCTGTTGTGAACAAATATCCAGATAGCGTCCAGCTGTAAATTCACTTTTTCAAATGTTGAATTTTAAAGATTAGATTTTTAGAGTGGGTTACTGTGTTGCTCTCTATTCGTCGGCTTGAAATTTTCATAATCTTTCCAAGAGAAAATGCCTCTCTTGCATATTGCAGCTATCTTCTTTCAATAAATAAAGGAAAAAAATAACCACTAGTCCTTAGTGGAGCTAGCATTTGGTAAATGCTGTCACACTGTAAATCTGATTCTCTGTTCTTTTTCCTCTACTAGGAATTCCATCTAATTATAAATAAAATATCCTTATAGGACAACCATTAAAAAAATTGTATTTTCACTACCAGGAATGTATTTATTTGTAACTGTTGAAAGACTGAATGACTTTATAAAAACACACGGTGTTTTACTGATGCTCATTTAGAATATGATACATTTTCGTAGCTACTGACAGATATCATATTCCTGCAAATCTGTGAACTACTCCTTTCTTTTGCCATGTCACGTAACCTCAAATATTTAATGTTCTTTTTAAAGAAACATATATATCTTTGGGAAAACTTAGAATGTGCAGATAACTGCAGTGTAACAGAAATAACCATATGAAAATATTTGGCTCTGTTTTCTGAATGTTCCTCTTATGTACTTTGTGGATTTCTCATCATTCTGTTTGTTTTTCATGTTCACTGCTCTATCCTCTATTTTGATTGCTGCAACAGAGCCACATGGGTATTATAATGTCTTATTCCAAGAGTTGCCCAAATGACAATTTCTGTTTTGGAGAAATTTTCTCCACTAACAACCAGTGTACAAGTCAGATTTTAATGTTTGACAGTGCAATTTCCAAGTCTTCACTCATACTATGAAGGCTAATTGTTGTTAATATCTTTTTAAAAATATTTAGATTCAAAATTTATCTTTAAGACAGTATCAACTTTCACAAAGTTGAAAATTATTATAAAGTAAAAATAATTACTGGCTTCATTGGAAAATAAAAGTTGTTCCACAGCTTCTTACAAAGAATAAATACCTGCTATACAAAGTGATTAATTTTTGCTGCTGCAAACTTTTTAATAGCTTTCTGATCTAACTATTTAGTTGAGCAGAACACACGTGTCATAAAGTGGCCTGTAAGTGTAAGCATATATAATGTAATAATATGTACTTTAAAAATCAGATTCTACCCAAATTGTTAAATGACAGAGTTTTTAAAACATCTAAGTAATTAGCAAATCAGTTTTACTGATTAAATATTGTAACCAGAAGTCAACAGGCTTCATCTTTAATAACTGAGTTCGTTTCAAGATTCAAATCAAACTCTTATAACTGGTTTCAGAAACTTCTTCCCCATTTTAAGGAACAGATTTCAGTTTCCAAAGTTCAGAAGCAGTAGTAAGCCCATTCTGTTGTGGTTCTTCTATACATCCTTTTTTTTGGGGGGGGGGGTGAAAAGATGTCATCTTGTTCTGTTCTTTTTTTTACTAAGTGACTCCAGATCACTGACCATTTATACAAAGTTAGCCAATGCTAGTTAAGCACACTAACATTTTGTGTGGAATTATCCAAGTTTCAGACCCTTCACACCTTGCAAACCACCTGAAAACTCACATTTATTGACGTGTTCTTTGCAGAGGTATGGAAAAGTAATATTGACCACCTATCAGATTTTGCAAATGCACTCGTGAAAATATTGGCACCAAACTCATCTGTGGTGCTCTGTTCTCTCCCAGCTTTCTCAGAACACAGCCTTCGTATCACTTTCCAGTTTTAATAAAAGGGGTAAAATCAGGCCTTGGGGCTATGCAACACAGCAGGAGTGCCAGCTACCAACCCTTGCGTGTGCATACTCAGACATAATCCGTTCTGGGTTGTCCCAGGACACAACCTTTAAGTAAATAAAGTGACTAATACGACAGTTGTTTATGTAATTATTCCCTTGCAAAATCAACAAGAGGAATAGCGATCTTTTACACTGCAGTGCAGGTAGATAAAATCGCCGATACAAGTAGCTAAGTAGTTAATTTTTACGGTAGCGATGTTGTTTCAGAAGCTCCTATTATAGGGAGATGTCTTTGAATGTATCTGTAATCCGGACAAAAGAAATAGATTGACCTGTGATGGGTGACATTAGAGAAGTGCCCTGTGTTTCCTTAATTAGTATAATGTGTTATGAGATTTTGATATGCTTAGTTTAAAAAGAAAAAAAGGCAGAAATTACTTCTCGTTTAAAGAGAACCTGCTTCCTGCTTAAGTGGCTAATATTTTAATTAAATCTGGAGTGAAGTTTTTTGAGTATCTCCTGATAAACTCCCTCCTTTATGTTGATGGTAATTAAACAGATCCCTAAGGGCCCGAGCAGGCGCTTTGCGAGGCCCGTGCTAATTGTCAGACATGAGACACTGACCAGTTGGTTTGCTCTTGAATAGCCGACAGCGTGCTGTCAGCCTAGCAGTTTTATTTTTCTGCATTGTGCGCTGTTGTCAGGGCTAACTGGGTCCTTTTGTGGCTGAAGATGTTGCGCAAATTGAGGCAGATGGCTCTGGTTCAGACACGTGTCCTTCAGCAGGAGGAGATTGGCCCTGCAAAGTGGGGTCAGGCTGGGTCGCAGACCCGCTCCTCACTCCTTCTTGTTCTCAAAAGCCCACGTGCAGAAACTTGGTTGTTGTCAAGTAACCAGCTACAACAACAACAACAAAAAACACACAAAAAAAAGCCTGGTGTGCTCCTTGTGGGATACGGAGGACGAGGCTACTGCCATCCTCATCCTTCCTGTCTCTTGGGCCACGCTGTGCATGCAGAATGAATTAACAGGATTGACAGAAGTTCATTGTGCCTAAAATGGCTTTTCAGTCCATTGTGGTGCTTAAAAGGCTAGTTTTGCTTTTAATTCCATGTAATTAGTGGTTTCCTCATGTCTTGGAATTCAGTAATGGTGCATTAGACCTAAATTTTATTTATCTGGATATATATATATATATATTTGTTTGCTTTGTAGGACTAGAAAATACATAAATATTGACTATGTTTTTGTGATAAATATTCTGGAGATTAAATACAATCACAGACAGAATGATGTGGTGTCTTGCTATTATCATTATTTCAGAGGATGGTGTTGGAAGTTTATGAGTTTGAGTATATTTAGCCTGAATTAATTCCTGAGGTGGCGGGCGGGTGTGCTTTTCTGAAAACACAACAGTGTAGCTTTTGGAAGTGTTATACTGCATTTAGTGTCATTGGATTTTCTTTGAGGCACCAAATGATGTTTACCCATGAAAATCCCCTTAGAACTGAGTTCAGATCAACTGTGCACACTAAGATAGTTCCTGAGAACTGTACAAAAGCTGAAGTTTTGGAATGTAAATAATAATAATCTGATTTAAGTCGATTTTGTTATGTGTATTATTAGAGTTTTGCAGTCCCTTTTTTTTCCTGAAGTACTAAAATATTTGCACAATAATGAAGAAATTTTCTGTAGAATTTGTGGTTTTATGGTGTATCCTCTGAAATTGACTAATGAAATTGGAGGCATTTTGTTAATACATGAGCTCGTTTAACTGTTGCAGGAAAAAGCATTCGTAGTCTTTAGCCTTAAGGTTCACAGTGATTTCTTTCTTTTTTTTTTTTTTTCCTTTCATCCACTCTAGGTTTGCAGCAAAGACTGTGCACAGTGGGTCACTGATGCTAGTCACAGTGGAGCTGAAGGAGAGCTCTACAGCACAGCTCATCATAAATACTGAGAAAACTGTGATTGGTTCTGTTCTGCTGCGGGAGCTGAAGCCTGTCCTGTCCCAGGGGTAACCTGCTTACATCTGGACTTCAGAATCTGGCACACAACAAAAGTGCCTGGCATCCACTACTGCTGCCTTTCATTTATAATAATAGCCCTTCCATCTGGCAGTGGGGGGAAGAATACACTCTTGACATTCTTCTGCTTTAGAATGCTAGTGTATGCAAGTCGTCTCCTTTTTTTCTGCTTGCTAACCAAAGAACATATATTTTACTGTCAGTTATCTGCATTCTTAAATGTATTTCCCATTTGTTCTATCTGAGTACTTCCCTCTCTTTCCACCCCCCTCCCTTTCCCCACTGTAGTGGACAAATATTAGATAATGAAGTTGAAAGGAAATCACACTGCTTAAGAATCGTGTTAAAAACAGCAGATAAATCGGTTCCAGCAACATATGCAACAATTATGTGTGCACTTCAGAGAAGCACACACATTACAACAAATACAGGAAAATTGTTTGCTTTCTGAAAATCCTTGTGCACCTGAACTCACGTAGTAAGAATATTGTTCCCATTTGATGTGATTTTCTTAAATATTTCTGTTAAGCTGCCAATAAAGTAGTGCTTTGAGCAGAAAGTGCCTCTTTCTTGTTTTGTTAGAGATCCTGTGATGATCATCAGTAATATATACAACTGGCCAATTTGAAGTAAATATTAACAAGATTGGATGCTATATATGCACTAGGAAACACTTTTTGTGAAAGTTGACAGTGTTTGTGCTCCAATTTAATTTTCTGATACACAGTTACATTTTTGTTACTAAACAAAATATGTCACTCTTATTTTCAAATTGGCCTACTTAAAAAATACTGATTGAGAAGAACTGTTGGGACATACTGTTGCCTAGCTTAGTAAATCATTCAGATTCTTTTTGTCAATTATTTATTATACCTAAGTTAGAATATCTCCCACCTGTGCATAAACCATGGCTTCAGGTAAAGAGAAATTCATAAGCACAGCTGCTGAGCTACGTCTGAGAAGTCCAAAGGCTGTGCCATATTGGTGGCACCCTGGTTTCTGCCTACTGAACCATGACTATAGCCTGAATGTGATTTTGACTTTCTCTTCGCATTTTGGTTAGATGCTGAGCTTTGTCATTTCATATCAGTTCTTACCTCTAACATGGCTTTCCCTAGCAACTCATGGCTCTGCAACGGATGTTTTCATAACACAAAGAAGAGATTTGGATAACTCTGCACCTTTGCTCTGTCTCCAGGACCCTTTGCATGGTCCTTCTGTGGTTCTGCTTGCAGAAATGTTGCTTTGCTGCATAGTGGAAAATTCTAAAATTTTGTGCAAGAATTTAGTATAGCCACACAGTAGCCCTAACACGTAGCAGAGTTTGCTGGCAAGTTCTAAACAGACTTTTTTCTAGGTATTGAAGGTGCACTTCTGTTAGAAATATAGTTCTAGGTTTCTTTACACCCAAATATGTTGGCATTTCTCAGGCAAAGAAACAGGAATCTATTGCACTCAACAGGAATGGAGATTTTTAAGTCAACATTTATATTATTTTCGAAAGTCCTAATTTTGCAGTAAGATTTTTTTTTTAATTATCATTTCAAGTGTGATATAAAAGTTATAACTCAAACAGTCACAAAATTATTCACAGTAGAAAATCACCACATAGAAAATGCAGATTGGTCTAGATACTCAGTGAGAGGGTGCTGTGGGAAAGGTGCAGAACTACTTTGCAGGAAAAGATTCAACTGTGAAACTTTCAACCATGATTGTAAGGGGAAAAAAAAACAAAAAACAAAAAAAACAGGAAGTGTACCACACTATAAATTGAAAGAAAATATATTATTGCTGTATGTCACACAAGTAGCTGAGTGACTTCTACCTCTTTAGAGCACTTTATACAGTTTACTGGTAAAGACCATAAGTGTGCATAATGAGGATATTTAGGGCGTTTTTGGTATTAATTCACTTTTTTCAGTACTTGGTGATTTGGTCCTGAATGGTTCAGTAACTCTTGATACAGGTATCCGTATCAAGACTGATGGACAGTGTGGTTTGCAGATTTATTCTGGCTTTCCAACTTTCCAACTTCCTCCATGAATAGATGCTTAAACAATAAAATATGTGTGCAGTAAATCTCAACTCTTCACAAACCTAAACATGAGCACCTGTACGTGTCTTAATATCAACAGCACAAGTTGTGCTCAGTCATAATTCAGTTGGTAATAGTTAGCAACAGTTCCTTGCTTTTGCCACGTCATTTTTGTTCACTTTCCTTCCTACTTTTCATCATTTACAGAGGCATGTTTAAGCATATCAGGATGTGAAGTAGATGGCTAGTCTGAATTGCCAGCTGGGATTCACTTCAGAGTAGTTTGCTTGTACCAGGCAATGGCTGGTTACAACTACGGGCAAGCTTTTTCAGGAGCTGCACACTGATAACCATCTGACTTCTGCAAGAACCCGGACACAGGCAGCCTTGAAGCATACCCGCATGCACAAATCAGGACACAGGGGGCGGATTTTGCTACAATAGGGACCAGGAGGTGAGGGGCCACTGCAACAGAACCAGGCAAAATGTAAAAAATTAGTAATACCTACCAATTGAAACATATTACAAAAACCAAGGAATGTATGTGTGATTTTACTGATTGAGTCAGTCCTGCCCAAAGTAATTAAAACTCAGAGAGACTCTATGGTTTTGTCTGCTGTGTTAGAACTAGTTATGGGTTGAAAAATCGCTAAGTAAGAGCAGGGGCAAACTAGAAAGTTTCTGCATAGTGAGAGACTGACAGATTCTTTGCCTCATGGTTGTTTCCACTCATCCACACATATACAACCCTGTGGAGTCTTTTTTGTTTAGGGGAAGTGTAGAGGTTGCTTTTTTGTTTGTTTTTTTTGTTGTTCAGGGAATTGGGGTTTTTGTTTTGTTTTTTATTGTTGTTGTTTTGTTGGTTTTTTTTTTTAATAGAACCATTCCTATACTTGTGCTTTATTTTAAAACAACAAGCTGTTGGAAAGAATGTGGTACATGAAAAGCTGGTAAGTAAATGGCCAGCAGAATACAAACATTGGCTTGATTCATGACCATCAAAATAACCTGTTTTTCCTCTTATTTTCCTTTCCTCTTACGATGTCAAATAAAAGGATAACAGATTCTATCCTGCATACTCAGCTTTAATTCTGGTTATTCATTTCTGGAGAAAACTGCAGAAATAGAAATGGTTCTAGAACTAGGAGCCAAATGATGGAAGACATAAATAGAATGCCATGTGAAAGGACATTGGAAGTAACAGAAGTGTTTTTAGAGCAGGGACACGATACGGTATTGAAATGATGAACGACATAGGAAAGATTATTTGGGCTTTCATGATGATCTTTTCTACTAACTCAGGAACAAGGTAGCGCTCTGTAATATCAATAAAACAATAAATTAGAGGAAGGAATTAACATATTTTCCTTGTTTTTAAATACAACGTGTACTTAAGCTCTCGTCATCTGTTGTCACAAGAGCACTGTTCACATCTTGTGCACCCATGTGCATAAAGTGAAACAAAATTGGAAATGTATATTAGCAAAGGAATACACAGATATGTATTGGATAGGATACAGAAAAACACAAGGGCTCAAAATCCTCTTGATCTGTGTTTTAGGCTAATTAGTGGTATTCTGTGATAGGATTAAATCCTTTTGCACGTATTCTTTTGTGATGGTCCATCACAATAATTAGTACTAATTCTTTTTAAAAAGTATTCAATTACTGAACTGTCTGGTTTTGCATACAATAGCTTATATGGCTGAATTAATTTTAACTTAGCAATTAGATGCTCTAACAAGTACTATGGAAAACAATGTACAGGTAAGTTTAACTCCTCCAAGTACTCAGCTGACTCAATGTGTGTCTGAAACAAGCCTAGGAGGATCAGATTGCATTCCCTTCAACTTCTGCAGTTTGTCTTTCTCCCCTATTTCAACTGTTTTGTCGTAAAGTGCGTGTTTTTGTAGCACTTGTGTGCTGTATTAAATGTTTTGTGATGCAGACACTGAGCTTTGCTGTGTTTGCATAGTGTGGCTTCATTGCTGAAAGGAGCCTTTGTTCACATCTCTGATGAAAAGCAATTCTTCTGCTAAGGTTATTTTTGTCTTATCTGGTATACTTGTGCTTTATGTAGCACAGTCAAGTGAACTTGTTCGGAAGAGAAGGAGATGGTAAACATCACTGTGTGCTTTCCAATCCTTGCAGCTAACTGGTTTTGCTTCAGAAGCAGAAGGTAAACCTGACCTCTGTTCTGCAAGGTCTGAGCTGACCATGCAGCCCCAAATCCTGATCCATTTAAATCTATGTGTACATCCTGGTGTGCAAGCATATGTCTTATGGTGTTATCCTATCCTTTTTTTTTTTTTTTTTTTTCATTATGCATGTATAAAAGAAAGGCAGCAAATGAGTTTTGCTGGCTCTTCCCAAAGAGTGAAGTATCTTCAGACACCCGTCCTCTCTAGGTCCCTTTCTGGGGACAGGGCAAGGGACAGCAACCCTGCACCTTGTAGACTGTGTGCTGTTTGAGTCATGTATGCATCTCCATGCCCATCTCAGGCTCAGCCTAGACCTGGTTTTGCTGCCTTGTAGAAAGAGAAAGGTTTGGATTTAACAACACAAAAAGATGGCAAACCACCTTGTTTCTTCAGGAAAGAGCGAAAGTGTGGAGGTCCTCCTGCCCTACAAAAATGCTGGTGGACGTTGTGTGGTGGAAAGGTGGGGAAAGATGTCCACTTATACACCACTCAGCCACTTACCATAGCAAATGGCGGGGGGGGAAGGAGATGGCTGGTGAAATGGAGAGAGCACAGAGGTGAGGACAGAGTGCTGGGTGCAGAGACCACAGCATCAGCTCTCCATTGTCATCATTTCTGACCAAAATGGTGCCCCTCACAGCATCTGCACCAAAGGCTACCGATGCCCTCATGGCTTCAAGACCTGGATGGCCAGGGGAGCTACTGACAGCTTGAGAGATAAACTCCAGTTCTGTGAAATGAGCTGCTAAAGCAGGAAAAGAGGCAGAGCTGGAAGCAAAACGTCAGTGTAGAGCATGGATTTGTCCTCACCATGGAGACATGGGTGCACAAGATGTGAACAAGATGCAGCCACAGCAAGGGCCCTGAGCAGACGGGTGTGTGCACATACAGGATTTCAGTTTGATTCTGCAGTATTTAATGACTCCTGCCATTCATTTGTATTGCATTTTCATCTGTGCCTCAGCCACGGGGGCTCCTCCTCACACCTTGTGCACATACCAGATCAGCCTAGGAAGTGTCTGGCACTCCATGCAGTTCCATAGTACCAATTGTGAAGGAGGAAGTGATGAAAGAATTACTATTTCTGTTGCTTTCTGGGCTGCTTTATCTCAAAAAGCAGGCGTGCATCCCATTCAGCACTGTTGTTTCCTTCTGCTGTACTCCTCCAAATGTTTGCAGATCTATGCACAGATCATCATAAGGAATTATGTTTCAAAGCTCATGGCCATTTCTGTGAGGCTGTGGGGTTTTTTTGATGGCATTTCTGTTTGTCTGTGGTCAGAACGCTTCACTGATGGGGCTTTACAGCCCAGGCTTTTAGAT